CCCTTCCCTTCCCTTCCCTTCCCTTCCCTTGTCATCCCCACTCCAGATTTCTGTTTTTTTAAATGCCCTCTCTCTGAGAATTCTTAGCCCTTTTTGGGGTTTGCTTCTTTTGTCTGTTTCCTCTTCCTTTGCAAATATATGTGCCTCAGCATCTTTAGAGGGACCTGGAGGTACCTAGAAGTCATCCCTACCCTATTTTTGGATGGTCCCATTTTCCTTCCACCTGGCAGGCACTCAGCCAAGGGAGAGGTCCAGAGAGGCTGCCTTATGTTAGTCTGTCCGTTGCAGCAAAGACAGCCCGGGGGGCCTGACACCACCCGAGAGATGAGCAAGGGCCACCCAGCCTGTATGTTCGTGAGGTCAGCTTTGGGATATCAGCACTTAACTAAAATAAAACTTTTGTTTCCCTTTACAGTACAGTGGCACAACATTCTCTGTTGTTTTTTCTGCTGTTCCTCCTCCTGAAGGAGCCGAGGGAGTCAGTTTCAAAATGTTGCCACATACAGTACCTAGAGCGCCACCTGGCAGGCAGGCAGGCAATGCACCCTTGGGCCTTGAGGGAAGTGACAGGGAGGGCTTCAGGAGAACACCTTTTCCCACCCACTCTCTCCCCCCCCCCGCTTCCTTTTTCTTTCAATGGGGCTCGAAGGCATCCCACAGGAGTCGCTTACAGCTGGTCCTCTCCGTGCTTTGCAAGGAAATGGGTGGGAGATGTCCAGACATTTCTGGGGCTCCCACCTCTCACATACAGGCGCCGGTCGTCTTGTCGGACAGTTTCTGCCTTTTCAGAAGCACTGTAACTACCTGGGGAGGCTTCCAAGAATGAATAAACACACACACACATTTTGGGGTGTGTTTATTCATTTTCCTCTCTACCATTCCTAGGGAGCCCTGAGCAAGCACAGTCGGGGCTAGCAGAAGGCCCCTGCACTGCAGGGTAGTGCTGGTCTCTGAGCTTGTACACAACACACCACATGCAGGCGGGCGGTTTTGGTGGTGGTCCATCTCACAGGTTTTGGCCCATTTGTGACAGGCTCCTTTCCTCTCACAAATGGGAAGCAGGCCAGCTTTAGCGGTTTGCTCCCGCCATCTTTCTCTGTCTCCAGCAGGCAGTGATTATTCCGGAAATGCTTACAGCCACGGCCATTACTCCAGCTACGGAGAAAACTGGCGGTTCCCCAACTCCAGCCTCCTAGGTAAGCAAGTGGTAGCCCATACAGGGCTGCAGAAGGCGGGGTTTCAAGAGCTCCTGGCCTCTAGGCAGCCCCAACTGCAGCTGGGACACAGCCACCAAGGACCTCCTTTTACCTGTTCTTCATTAGCACAGAAGGTTTCTGCCTGGGACACTCCAGCCTGGAACTTTTATTTCTGTTGCTGCTGCAGCTACTGCCATAGCATTTTGGCTCTAGCCCATCTCGGTTGCCATTTCTACTTTGTGGTGTTAACCTAAACTAAAGAGATGGTCAACAGAACAGTCCCAGTGCAGAGAACTGGGAGAAGCAGCACCTCAGTCTCCCACGTCAGGCACAGTTCCGGCGTTGATCTGTCACACACATCTCATGCCGTGACGAAGAGGCAGACTAAGGCCGTGCTGCCTCTGTGTCTTTCAGTGGCAGAAGGAGCCAAAGGGCAGCTGTCTGGGCTCAGTCTCAGCAGAGAAAGGGGCTTCTGCAGTCCTGCGAGGAAGGGGGTGCCTTGGTGCAAGGAGTGGCCATTTGCTGTGACTGATCTGGTGGAAGATTAACAGGAGACCCAGACTAGGCCAAATGAATGGCTAACCCTTGCAAGGTTTTTGCTAATGAGCCTTTTCTCTTTGTCCAGGTTCCCCTTATTATTACAGTTCACCTTCCCGGGGCCCTGTAGCCTCCATGGTAACGTATGACCACTTGTAGAGGATCACAGAGCTGTAGAAGCCAGCCAGCTCAACCTGCTGGTCAGAAGAGATAGACCTTGTTCATCATCCTGAAACATCTGGGGGAAGGAGGAGCACCTGCGGATTAGTACTCAGCCCTTGGCAAGGCACATGAGCAGAAAATGGACAGGCCAAGCAAAGACAGCCAGCCAAAGTGATGCACAAAGACTATGTACCTGGACGTATAAAAGCCAGGCTGCTCCCCCTCTCCCCTGCCACCACGGCTGGGAAGAAAGGAAGAGAGGGTTCATTCGGATTTTGGGAAGCACAGGAGGGCAAGGAGGGAGAAATGGATTTTGTGAAAATGAAGGGCATAAAACCAGTGACATGAAGGGGGCACTTTATTTCTGTTCTTTCTTGCATCAAGAAAGGAGGGGGGCATGGAGGAGGGGGGCAGCAGCGGGCATGCTGGGCCCCTACAGCATTTTGTGGAGCAGGGTGCTTCTATACTGTATTGCATGTCTCAAGTTGCATGGAGGTGTCCCTGCTTTTGTGTGGGGGCTCAGCCTTTGATTTGGGGGCGAGCCTTCAGGCTCTGCAGCCACAACGAGGGTCAAACGAGTTCTCTGTCAGGAACATGTCACTCCACACCCAAAACACCTCAGGAGGTGCATGGCGGCCGCTCACTTTCTCTATCGAGAGAATGCCAGTCAAGAAGCAAAGGGGACTGTGAAACTCACGGAGCTATTTCAGTGGGACTCTTTGCTACTTCACAACCCACGTCCTCAGAATATTTCTGAGGAAGTCTCCCTGAGAGGTTTCTAAGCTGGCCTATCCATGGGTCACTACACTCCCCACCCCGGAGCCCAGGCCGGGAATGAATAGTGCTGCCAGCGCTGCTGCTGGACCCTGATTCTCCCTGCTGTTGGGGGTCTCAAGGAAGGGCTGCAGGCCCACAAGGCCCCGAGATGCCTTTCACAGCAGCGCAGGAAGCCTCTCATATGGACAGGGCTCCCCCTCCCCCACCTTTGCAGCACACCAGGAAGAAAAGGGAGCAGGCAGGCTGGGCTGCTTTCTGGGCAAGCACAAAACGAAGAAAAGGGCACCCCCTTCCTCAGCCACCCCAAAAAGGGAAGGGGTCCCATCTTCCTCCTTTTCTCAATGGGCCCTTGAGGGCTCGTTGGCTTCTCCCAGGCTGGAACTACACACATGGCAGAAATTGGTTTAAATGTGAAATAACGTTTGCTGTAAACTTTACTTCACTTTAAAATAATGCCTATTGGGTGGCCCTTTTAAGGACTTCAGGTGGGTGGGTGGGTGGAAGAGCCCATCCTTCTCTTGCATGGTGGGCAGCTGGACTGCAAAGGGGCTCTCGTGGGTTGGACGTTCTGGTGCCTGAAATGCATTTTATTGCCCTTCCTGTGTTGTGAGAGTAGCCATGCTTCTCTGTTCAAACATATACAGACAGAAACATCTCCCTCCCTGTCTCTCCCCATCTCTCCTTCCCACCCAGAAATGTTGTGGCATCTTAACAACTAACTGTTCCATTTCAGTGTGAGCTTTCATGATTACATTTACTTCTTCAGAGACACACAGGTTCTTCTTGCCATGCCAGCTCATAAATAATGAAATAAGTGGGTCTGAAAAGAAATCAGAACATTAGTGAAGCTTCAGAAGCCCCTGACCTCAGCCTTTTGCTCACTTCCCTGCACCACCAGGTTTTATGTGCAGAATTCCTGACCCCAGATCTCAGCCTTGGGTCAAGTCTCCAAAAGGTAGCTGGCGCCTTTCCCACATGAACCCAGTCAAGTCTGAGCATGTTTGCTTTGACCCTCAGCCTTGGGTCAAGTCTCCAAAAGGTAGCTGGCGCCTTTCCCACATGAACCCAGTCATATCTGAGCATGTTTGCTTTGACCTGAAACGGGGAGGGGGGAGAAAGAGAAGGGAGTGTTTCCTCGCCCCCCCCCCCCCGCAGTGAAGAGGAGGTGGGATTCTGGGGAGACTCCTATCAGGGAGACCCAGCATTGTCTTGCACTGCAGCCTTTCTGGACCCTGACCTCGGCAGGGCCTTAGGCAGGGTCAAAGCCTCTCTCACGGCTTGCGAGGATCGTTCAGGCTGAGGAACAGGAGTCTGGCAAAGAAATGGAGCCCCTTCCTTGCCTTCCGCAGGCAGTGCTGGTAAAGGAGGGTTGCCATAGGCTGGGCTGGAGGAAAGCAGCCCCCTCCCACTCCCCAGTGAGTTCGACCTTCGGATTCCTGGTGCTTCTCCGGGGGGGGGGGCTTCTGTCAAGGGGCTTCCCAGTGGCTTAGGAACCAGAAGGGAGGTGGGCTGAGCCAAAAGGTTGCTTCCACTCCTGACCACCAGACCTGCGCCTGAGCATTCCTTCCCTTCCGTGCAGGCTGGAACGAGGAACGCTGAGCCCTAGCGGCTGCGGGCCAGTCCTCTCCCCTTCCATACTGGGGGCAGGGGAGCAGGCTGGCCTCTCCTGCTCAAATGCCAGGAGCCACCCCTGGATTAGCAAGGCTTTGCCTCTCCAGGGTCGGGCGCTACCCAAGACCAGGCGGAGAGCGGAGCATGTGCTCAGCTGAAAGTAGACGGGGGGAGGGGGACGGCGGCGGCGGCGAGATGGT